AAAAATGGCGGACCTACCAGCAGACAGACTCGAAAGAGCACCTCCTTTCTCTTACTCTGCAGTGGACTACTTTGGTCCATGGACCATTAAAGAAGGCCGGAAAGAACTCAAGAGATATGGTGTTCTGTTTACATGCATGGCATGTCGCGCAATCCACCTAGAGCTGGCCAACACCCTAGATACGTCGTCTTTCATCCATGCCCTACGACGCTTTTTATCGAGACGAGGACCAATCCGTCAGTTGAGGTGCGACAGGGGAACGAATTTTGTCGGATCGAAGAATGAGCTCAGCACCCTAGTACAGCACCTGGACAAGGCCAAAGTAGGAAACTTTTTGAAGAGCCATAACTGTGACTGGTTCGAATTCAAGATGAACTCTCCATCGTCCAGTCATATGGGTGGTATTTGGGAGAGGCAAATTCGGACCGTTCGAAGTGTGCTAAACGCCCTCTTAGACGAGTCTGGTCACCAGCTGAATGACGAAGCGTTGCGCACCCTACTTTGTGAAGCCGAAGCCATCGTTAATAGTCGCCCGTTAACTGTACAGAACCTAAACACTCCAGATTGCTTACCTCTTACGCCAAATCATCTACTGACTCTGAAGACGGAAGTACTTCTACCACCTCCAGGCGAGTTTCAACGGTCAGATCTCTATGCTACTAAGAGATGGAGACGCGTGCAGTTTTTAGCTAACGAGTTCTGGCGTCGGTGGAAAAAAGAGTACATGCAGACCCTACAAGAACGCACAAAATGGAACATCCCTAGACGAAACCTGAAGGTCGGTGATATAGCTATACTCAAGGCTGACGATGCCCCACGAAACCTATGGAAGATGGTCAGGGTCTGTAACGTGATTACCGATGAAGACGGTCTTGTGAGAAGGGTTAAAATTGTCACCGGAGATCAGTCAGTCCTAGAACGACCAGTACACAAGCTCGTACTTCTTTTAAAGACCGAAGAACAGTCACATACATAGTGAAAGTATGGAGAGCCAAGGAGAGCCATATTTAATTGACATTAATTTTAATTGATAAATTTCTTTAGATAAATTTAGGAGAGCCATGTAGCTCCAACACCTTCGTTACTTATCGTTTGTTGTTTTTAGACGTTTAATTGTTCACAAGTCATTCGTGCGTAGTCTATTGTTTTTTATTCGGTTATATATTTCTACTTATGTAAATTTCGTTATTACCGCGTTTATCGTCATCGCTGATCCTTCAGACCATCACTATGGTAAGAACTTTGTAATCGTTTTGTAATCGCTTTCGTTTTCTATCGTATTTTGTAATTTATCATATACTCTATTGTAATTTCTCGTTTCTTCTTTCTACGTTGTAAGATTTACGTCATCATGTATGTCAGTAAACAAAAATCTGAAGGTTAGCCGTAACACTCTCTCCTAAGCTAAAATTAATTAATATGTTTATAATATTTCAGGTTCGCATGTCAACAAAACTGTTGTAACTTACTAGAACAGAGCATCTACCTTTGAAATGGCAGTACTAGATAATCATTTTCAACATCTATATTGCTATTGGAGCTCCGCTATTAGGTGTTACATGATTTTCATATTACAGCATATGGCTAACAACTGTCATAGAGATTTAAAAAGAATTGTTTGATAACCCTACGACAGTTGTAGCCATGCTGTAGTAATGATAACTGAGGCATGTTGCATGTGATGATAATAGGCAAAAATGTACCATCTAAATCGGCCTTAAAACCTTGCCGCAAGCCCTCGACCTGGACAGTCGCCGTCAGTGTAAAGGATGCAATCAGTTTATCAACACGAAGAGGCAAAAATTAATCGGTGGAAAGGGACGTAAAGGAAAGAAATAAAGTGCCTCGAATATGAAAAACATATTTTTGTTCCTGATTTCTAGTGTATATGCAAAATGCAATGAAAAGGAAATGTAGTCATTACCTCGGCACATCTGTATGTTGCATCGTTTAGATTGTGAAGCTGATCCCTCGCAACGCTTTTCCATAGATGTGGAATTTTTGCAGTAGCGAGTGCGATTCTGTGTCCCTACTCCGCAAGTCTTGGTGCACTGAGACCAACTGGACCATTCGGAGTATCCACTACTTTCTGAGAATAAAGAAATCAATCGTCAAATACGTTTCTGTGTTGAATTGAAAAGGGGCTAGAGCATGAGTTCTAGCTTAATAACCTAATGCCAACAGGTGGAAACAAACCATCACTGGAAAAATTCGCGCAATTTATAGGTTGTAAATCTTTAAGAAGAATGCTTTGCGTCGAAAAACTAACACTAAAAGAAAATTAAGAAAAGAAGTAAAGCAAAAGTTCTTTAAAAATGGTTTTGAAAGACGATTGATTGAGAACGATAAACAACCTGTCTTTAACCTGCCACATAATCAAATTATACGCGCGGACAAGGCAACTACAAAATGTACAGTGGTGTTTGACGGATCAGTAATAAACCAACAAAAGCTTCAAAAGAAGTTAACAGAACATGTATATAATCTTCTTAGTTACTAGTGGTGAACAAGACGACGAGAAAGCTTATCAACCTACACAAAGAACTGCGCACACTCAATTTTCTATCACGTTATGATATAGAGTTTATTTCATGGAAAGTGCGGCGTACGGGATTTTATTCACGAGTTGTTTGCATCATACAACGAACGAGTGAGGAACGAGCGAGTTTAAAGTGTCACTATGTGTGACGATATTTTTCTCAGACATTGTGAGTTCGAAAAATATGAAAAGTTTCGCCCCATGTAAGAGAATCCAGAGAACTAGAGGATTCCGGATTCCAAGCGCTGGATTCCGGATTCCGAAACATTGGATTCCGGATTTCAAGCCTTGGGAATCCGGATTCCAAAGAATTTTTGTTTTGGATTCTGTATAATAAATGGCCTGATTTTCAAGGGTTTTTTCCTGAAAATGTTATATTCAGCGTTTCAGTAGCCTGCGCAGGGGCGTCAGCGGGACGATGTCCTATGTGTTTTTTAGATATCAATTTTTTGCTGGATTCCAGATTATTGATTCCAAATATTTGGATTCCGGATTCCATGATAGGGATTCCGGATTCCAAAGCTGTTTTTTTAGTGGATTCCGGATTCCGGATTCTCTTACACAGGGCGAAAAGTTCGCTTATTCGTGAGATATCAATGAAACAGTAGAAAATACAATCCGTTTCTACGTGCCCCAATGTACTATCCTATATCATAACGGCTTTCCGTTAAAATAGAAAAAGCGGGATAATAAC